TAGCAGTTTTTATAACTGAATTGGTTATCTTCAAGAAGAGAACGACATTTTTTAATTTCAAAGACATGTTTCGATGTTACGAACATCATCGTCAGTTACAGAATATTTGAAAAACCGTTAGGATTATATAACAACTAGGCGAAACATGCATAATTAACTATGATTAAGTGACAAAAATTACATATTTGAGTGAGTAACGAAGTGTTGGAAAGAATATAAAGCCTAAAGCATAAGCGTCATGTTGACGTGATGAACTTGTTGGTTTAAATTAAGCTTTTCCCAGTTTATGTGCATAGCCTCCTTAAGTTTAAGTTGAAATTTTAGTAGGGGCGGAATCAAGGATTTCAAAACAATCCGCAGAGCAAGATTGACGATAACTTTCTGAGTTTTGTAAATGTTTGAAGATATGTGAGGACTTGTTTGAAGAGAGATGTTCACGGACGCGTGCATTGGTTATCCTGCATAAGTATTTTATTATTATTATTATTATTATTATTATTATTCTCATTACATCTTCCTCTCGCAGTCCAAGATGCGAGAGGAAGACATCTTAGTTTCTTTTGCGCTGTTGTGTGAGTAGCCTGCGTGCAGACCCACTGATCCTTCGTCAAGTGGGTCTGCGTAATATCGAACAAAAGTGTGTAGAGAGATCCCCCGCAACTAGTTTGAAAATATGTAATCGTTGCCGATTGGCTACATTATAACGCCGCCTCTCATTGGCTTGTCCCAGTCTCTAACTCTTCAGTTCACAAGTCCTAAACGGGTTTAGTAACTCAAAAAGTGTTTGTCGGTACGTGATAAGTTGAAGCAAACCGAAGTGTGGTCCAAAACATTAGTCTTGGTGGATGCGGCAGAGGAGAACGCATTTATCGGTCGGATTGGGCTAATTAAGTACAGCGTCAGGGAAGTGAGACTCCTTACTCGCTGGAGTGGAAGTGAGCACATTCCTTCCTTGAAGCTCTTCATCCAGAAGTGACTTTTTCAGCGTAACGGGAATAGGTAAATCTCCTCCATCATGCGCACGTTAGTTCTGGGTAGTTACGCTGTTTCGGAAAGTTTCTTCGATCTCATGTACCTGGAGAAGCATATTTAGTCTCTTTTTCAGCTTGTTCAAACAACTTCTACAAACGAATGGAGATGTATTCGGCACGTCAAATGGGAGCGTCTGTATTGCAGCATAAATTTCGAACTTTCCTCTTCCATCCACTGGATATCTTTCATAGTCCTTTTCGATCAAGTTCACGCAAAAATTGCATGCCGTTTGAGTTCCCATCTGTACTTTACATAGCGTTAAAAAATCAAAACATCCGGGCAAAAATATAGAATTTTTTCGACCTGTAAAAATCAAAACATCGACCGCGTAGATAGAGACTGGGACGAGCCAATGAGGGGCCGCA